CAAGTAGCTACAAAAAATGAAAGTTATACGAGGATATCTAAACATAGTTTAATTTCATTTCTTTTTAAAATCTAATAAAAATTCTTTTCATGTGTGTGTGTCTATGTCTTTGTGTCTGTTTGTTCATGTGTGTGTGTCTATTTCTTTGTGTCTGTTTATCTACTAAGCCCAAGTACTTAAAACTTAATGATTAATTTTAATTGAAAGTTCTGTCTCATTATCGAGAGTTTTTGCCTATGGTAAACCCTTAATCACATCTTAAAATCCTCACAAAATGAGTGCAAAATTTTTTAGTATCCTATAATCGTATGTCTCTTGAAAATTTTGACTCGAAACCTATCCAAAAACTCTTGTGAGTGTTTGTGGCACGAACTTGTGGAGCCTACAAATTTCTAGCGATTTTTCTGAAGAATATTTCTCTTTTCATTTTTTGCTAATTAAATATTCTATAATATCAGCCAAATTATAATAACAATAAAATTTAAAAAAATTCAAAAGGATATCGTTGTAATTTTTGAATTTTATTCTTGTATTATAAATTTTTTCAATGATCACACATAGCATGCTTTTTTTTTTATTATGCTTGCATTATTCTTTTTCTGTATTTTAAAAGTATGGGGTGAAATATCAAATGCTGTTTATTGATCCCTATCTTTTATTTATGTAAAATGGATCTTTAGAATATTTCTTTCACTGTGAAATTGAGTCATGGTGCCAACATTTTGCTTGGCTAAAGCAGAGAAAGAATTTAGAAGACAAATGAAGAAGCAAAATATTGAATTGGGAGTTTAATAATTATTACTGAGTATCGAGTTATCCAACATATCTTAGAGCCAGTAGCGGGTATTCTCACCCTTAACAAATTTGAAAAATTGAAATTGTTGAAGATGAATAACTTTATTGGCAACATAATGCAATTCTTTTGGACTCAGCAACACCAATCCATTCCTTGAAAAAATGCCACTTGAAACTTCATTTGTTAGAGTGCATAAGTTTCCAAAGATTTTCAAAGTGAAAGACCTAATGAAATCAACATATGAAATGCCTATCATAATTGAGCCCAATAAAGCTCAAACTAGGAAGTTACCTCTGTTGTGGTAACTGAAAGCAAATCTAAGTAGGCTTCTTATGATGAACATCGGGGCATGACAATTCGATCACATGGCAAAAAATTTGCTGTCGAAGTTTTATGAAGAGTTTATAGAAAGAGGAAATGACTTGACATTCAATTTGCACTCCCGAAGATTTGCTATTGACATGATTTGTTTGGAATGGTAGGAAGGTTCCCACGAAAGAATTTTACAATGATTGGCACCTTAAAATACTTTTAGGAGATTACATTGTCCACCATTTCCAATTTTGGAGGAGGAGATTAATTATGATCACAATCATTTGATTGAGAAAATTTTCGCTCCACACATAACCTGAAGATCTAGTGGAGATACCGATCTAATATTCGAGAAGAAGAACAAGAGTTCATGGACATTGAAGTGGTTTATATGGTATAGTACCAATGACCAACTTTGTGCACTCTTTTATTATTAACGTTGATGTACATCCCAACCAATTAGAGTACCACAAGTTCTTCATCTGAAAATGAGCAAGAGAGGAAAGACAAAGAAGAAGAGGAGCTGGTATTTGTTGATCCTACCTCATTGGCTAGAAAATAAAGGTAGATGCAACTTCAGATGAAGGCAAAAGGCAAAACAATCTCCCAACTCATTGCCATGATGAATGAAGTGTTGTTGCAAATGAATTTTATGGTGGAGATAATGCTAAACAATGTTGCAGTAAGTCTGTTTTCTGCTCCACCTACCAATCATCATGCAATCAACAATATTTTTGTCAATCTGCCAGTCACTCAGTACCTCAAGCATATGAGGTATGAGGTGCACCTGAGAGGATGAATGAATTTATTCCACCGACTTGCCAACCTATAGCTTACATTATTGCAACTAAGCGTTAGTGACAACTGCTCAATATTTAACCAGCATTAGTGAGAACATTGATTGGCAACTCTATTGACAAGATAGCGCCTTATCTATGCATGATCTTAGTCACCACACTTTAATCTAATTGGTAGGGTGGCAAAGTTTGAGATTCTAATTTTTTTTAGATTTAAAGGCTATCTGTTAGATCTTAAAAACAAAGCTCTAGACTCTAGGAAAAGTGAAGTACATGTCTCCTTACACTGCTATAAAGGAATATGGATGGTTTACAATGTCAATAATGAAAAATATCTTATAATGATAAATGGAAGGAGTAGCGAATCAATTGCAATTCATTGCTAAAGCTGGTAATGTGGGTAAATGATAAGCTCCAAGCTTCCCTTGGTGGACAGAGCATATGAACTAAATGATGGGAAATGAGAATGAAGCACAGCGGTCCCTTTAAGAAAAAATGAATAAGTAATATTATTTAAGAAGAGATGGTATGATCAAATTATTTTGATAAGCACTCAAGGCAGGTTTGCAATTACCAGAATGCAAAAGGCCCAAAGAATTTTATCAGACCAATAATCAGAGTTCTACACTTTTCATTGGGTAGCCAGCCAACCCTTTTTGTTGCACATACTATTTTTGCAAATTTGCTACCTATCGATTATTTATTTGATGAATATATTCTACTGATATAAGAAAATGAGTAGATGCAAATTTCTGAACTCTATTTTGATGGAGCCTCAACTTTCAAGCTTTCTCAACCTGCAGATTTTCTGAAGACGTATTATATTGGTCTCATTTAAATAATGTCGTATGGAGGTATAATAAGATATTTGTTTGGCTTGACTGAGCCTTGAACAAACGAAGAAACAGATTATGAAACTCTAATAGAATATTCTAAAATGATTTTTGCATTGAAGATTCAAATGATCTACATTTTTTTGGTGATTCTCTACCTGTTATAAATTTGATATTGGACGCCTACAAGATTAATAAGCTTGTGTTAGCTTGTTATCAGAAGCATACTCTTTAGCTTATGAAGAAAATTTCACATGTCACTCTAACTCAACTCTCTCGAGCTTTTTGTCTGCAACCTTTCTGCTTTTAGTCTTACAAATTATATATATATTATATGAGCCAGATGAGCCAGTCACATCGCTGTGCCCTAGCCTCTCGCTCGTTCGCTTCGCTTCGCTCTTCGGTATCGTTTATTCGATCGCGTCATTTTTTGGATTGTCTCACGAGCTCACTGGGAAGGTAGCGGTGGAACTGCCGCTTGCACAGTGCCGCGATCCTTCCTGTGACGTGCCACTTGATCCCTGCTCGATGTATCGAGCAACAAAGAGCTCCGGTTGAAGCCACGACTTAAACCCAAGAGCTTTCCGCTGTTTAACTGCTCCCTTCCATGCCTACTGCTCATTCTCAACAACCGACTACTATGGTTTTAAACATTGGGAAGACTTCTTTTGTTAGTATGGTTGGCTCTATGGGATCAGATTAGGTTTCCCCTCAGGTTTACCATAAACCATTCGATGGCCAGGAGGACTGCAATCTTATCAAGAAGACAGGTAGGAAGTGACGAACTGGCTCTATTCTTCTCTGATGTTGAAGTTTCCAACCTGGTTAACAAGTTCAAATTCACCCTCATTAGGAAGTTCCAATCGGGACATCCCAAAATGGAAGTCGTTCGAAAGACTTTTGAAGATCTCAAACTATTGGGATTTTAGAAGGTTTGCCTCTTTGATGGGAGACATGTGATGATTCAATTATTAAAAGTGGAAGACAATGCCAAAGTATTTTTCAAAAAGTTTATGACAACAGAGGGAAAATATATGAAACTGTTTAAGTGGTCTCCTGAATTTGACCCTAGTCAAGAGCCACCTATAGTTTCAATCTGGTTTAAGCTATCTGGCTTAAAGTTGCACTACTTCAACCACCAAGTCCTCTACTCTATTGGAGCTGCACTAGGGAGATATATGAAATTGGATACACCCACCTTCATTCTAACCAAGCCTTTGGTTGCAAGAATTCTTGTTGAAAGAGATATCACCCTCCCTGATGTGGACGAAATATGGCTTGGTACTGCCCAAAATGGGTATTGACAGCCAATTATAGCAAAACAAAGACCCTACTACTGCAATCACTGTAAACTGTTTGGGCACACCCCTATCAAATGCTTCAGACTTCACCCACATTTAAGATCGACGGGTCCTAACAACATCATCCATGTGGAGGAAATATAACAGACACTGTTAATCTTCCAGAAATGTTGAATGAGATTTTGACTCATAAGGCTACTCCTCACCAACCAGACGAGCAGCTTCCGCCTACTGTTGTTGAGGCAGCTCTTCCTCAGATTACAAATTCTACGAATTTTGTTGTAGCAGATGTTAGTTGCAGTGTCTTGGAACCACCTTTTGCGAGAGAAGAGAGTACTCAAGTTATGGAGGAGTGTTAGGATCAAGGTGTGCTGCAGACTGAGTCAGATTAGCAGTTTACCTCCATCGAAGATCCATCTATTGTTCACACGAGAGTACGAAACTACCTCTGGCGGATGATTGGCAGGTTTACAAATATAGGAAGAAGAAGAAAGGAATGTCTGATCTCAGTAACTCTCAGGATGACTATATCATTGTTTCGGGCGGAAGCCCACATTTCAGTATGTTGTTGAACTCCCTCTCTAGATCTAGGGAAAGGGGAAGCGGTAGATTCATCAACTACACCCACCATGATTAGGAGTCGTTTCTTTTTGTTTTTTTTTTTTTGGGAATACGTTGTAATCCCTGTGAGTGGGCTTTCGTACCCACTTACTAAAACCTTTGTATCATCTTTTTTTTATCAATAAAATTTGCCTTTTAAATATAAATATATATATATATATTTATTTATTTATTTTTATTTTTTTTCTGTTTTTTTTGTAAGCTTATGACACATTCAATTTTAATTTGTGAATTACTTAAGCTTTTTTTTCAAAAATATTTTAAAATATTTATCCCTTTATTTTGTAGAATCAAAAGTCTGCACAATACCTTTTCAGTGTAAATAAAAACCTTTTTTCAGGTACGATGCATCATAAGGAACATTGTGAGAGATTGGGCAGTGGAGGTTTTTACAAGCTTTCCTTTTCCTATTAGTTTTTCATGCACAATGTTTTTTCATTCCTTAAAATTTCTACTGATTGGTATATCTTCATATTATAGGGTCAAAAGGAGCGTGATCAATGTTATAAGCCTATTCTCGAAGAGCTTAACCGCCTTTTTCCTGATCGTTGCAAGGAAAGGTACGAGTTCTATGAATGTATACTATATCTTCAAATACCTTTAATCAGTCAATTGCAATTAGGTCCCTATCTTGAGGCCCTAGGCCCCTAGTCGCAACTTCTCAAATAAAGCTTCGAAATGAGGTTTCAAAGGGAGCAAGATCTAATTTGATCGTGTGTTTTGAATATTGATATGGTAAACTCAATTATTTCTGTTGTACTCTTTCAAATTTTATCGGTAATCATTCATCAAAATGATATGCCTCTAACACACTTATTAGCTATTAGAATATGAATTAGCAGGGCATATAAGAGAATTGGAATGGAAAAATTATTGTCATCTGGTGCCTGCATGTAAGCCACATTTAGTCAGTTTTAGAGACGGTTTTGTCCTTGGCTGCAGTTTGAAGTTTGAACTAATGTCAGACCTAAATGTTATTGAGTAAATCTCAACTTCTCATAGAAGTTTGCACGTAACTGACTTCTTAGTCTTCATCCTAATGAGAGAAGTGATTTGGCAATTTGGCATGTATATTCATTCCGTTGTACTTGTTTTTTTCTGGATAATTTATTTATCCATTGAAAAAATTTTATTAAAATATCTTTGCTAGACTTTTTTTGTGCTCGTCTTTTCAATACTGATATTGGCTACGTTCTTATTTCTCCAGAACATAGTTGTTGATGGCTAGAAGCACATCACAGCACAAAAATTCTTGTGGGACAACAATGCATAGCGTTCGCTTAACACACTATTTTCAACTGCAAAACTTTAAAAAACATGGATAAAAATGTAGCAAAATATAAATACTACTAGATTGGAAAATAAACTATTATGATGATGAAAACTGCTAATTTAATGCTTGGCCTCAAGTGCACAACTGAACAAATTCAATAAATTATATATATAATATTCTTTAAAGTAAACTAATCATCTTGGGAATCATCATTGTAAGCTAAAATAGCTCATCTCCTTCAGCATTTCTTAGTTTTTGGATCTTAAAGATATCTTCCATTATCAAATCTAAATAATAAGCAGCGTGTGCAGTCCAATATAAGTTCGGCTACTTTTTCATTAACTACAAAAATATTTCAAAACATCGAACAATAAATTACTAACCTTGTGAAATTAATAAATAACTTTAATGAAATGGAATCATGCAGCAAGTCATTAACTTGCTTGAACATTCTCTGAGGCATTATTATTGATCACTTGAACGATCCAATGTAGTCCAATTTTTTTGATTTGCTTGCTTAACAATATGGCCCATTGAGCATTTCTTCTTATTCTTAAACTCCTAAATTTCATCTCTCTTATGTTGAGGGTAGTTTCCAGAAGCCTTGAGTTTTTTGAAACTTACCAACCAGATATTGCTGGTGACGAGTAACTCCTTTCATCTTTTTTACCATAAAAAAGTACATTTTGCACAATTGTTATCACTTTCTTTTGAATAGACTACATGTTTCCACGTAGGATTATTATTTGCAGTTTGGCCTAATTTCAACCTTTATGTAGTTTACCTAATAGATGAAACTAGTGACATGTAAGAAATGACTAGCCATGCGTCCTAACATGCACCAAATGTGTGGAAAAAAAGAACTCACGATAAACCATAAGCTACTCAAAAGTGGATTAAATTAAGTAATACACAAATCTCATGTCGAGTGTGTACTAATTGAGATTTGAATTCTTGGAGGCTTTATGGTGGAAGTGAAGCAAAAAGTATGTTGAAATCTGTGTGAGATGAGAGTGGTTAGAACGTTGAAGCATCGTGCAATGCAAGAGCTGCAAGAACGTTGAAGCTGCGAGCTCTTCTCCTTTATTAAAGCTGTGGAAGCCTTTGTGCATTAAAGGAGATAATGTATTCCTTTCATGTCAAAGGTGAGTGCCCTTGCATTTGTCGAAGGCTAGACTGAAAGCCCTCACATGCTTGTCGAAGCCTTCTAGAAGGGTACCATCTTGATGCCTCAATAAAAATATATTATATAAAATAAAATAATTAAAAAGAATTGTAAATAGTAGACATATTAATTTTTACCCTCCTAAATATAAATTAAAATATCTCTGCGATAGGGGCTATTCAAAATAGTATGCTATTCTTCTTTATTGACTTGTATGTTGCAAAAATGATAATCTTGTTGATAAATCAAGTATTGTGATTGCTTAAGAAGGCTAACTAAATTATTTATCTATATATAAATGTAAATCTTTGATAAATTTTTTTATTTTCAAAAAATTGGTTTATATGCACAATGTAATTACACACTTAAATAAAGACATCAATTGATAAAGCATTACGATATTGTAGCAAGTATAATGAGTTGTCAATGTTTTATGCGCAAATCAGTGACCTTTATTTAATTTGAAGTTTCTTTCATAGAATTGGGCGTATTTAAAACATATAAGCAATTTTTTAGAAGGCAAAGCTCTAGGGTGAAGCATTTTATGTCAAGAGGCAACAGATACTCTAAAACAACAACAACGACAAAGCCTTAATCCCACTATGTGGGGTTGGTTAAATGAATCCTTTTTCTCTTTTGCGTCCTATTTATTGTCGTATTTTCTTATAGTTTTAATAAATTAAGATCATTTTTTATACAATAAGCCTAAGTCTTGCTAGGGCTACCTCTGTCTTTCTTAACATAAGTCGAATCTAAATCATCTATTATCCTAATCGGATCATCAGATGGTTGGCGTTTGATGTAACCAAACCATCTAAGACGACTATCTCTAATTTTGTCCGTCACTGGAACTACACCAACCCTATCATAGATATATTCATTTTGCTTGCATTCTGTCTCTAAGTGTAAAGCCACTCATCTACCTAATCATTCTCATCTCGACAACACTTAACTTAGTATTATGCTTCTCTTTTTATGACCAACATTCAGTGCCATAGAGCATTGCAGGTCTCACCACCATCTTATAAAATAGAGGAGCAAAAACTCTATAATGTTTAATTTTAATTTTTTGTAAGTATGGAGTTTTGATTAGAAAACAAGAATATATAGAAATATGTAAAATAAAATTCTTAAAAACAATAACCAAAAGGGATTTTTTTTCATAAAATATATATATATATATAATTTCATAGAATAGTTAGCATAAACATTTGAAGCAAAATAAATTAGATACAAGATTAAACAAGCAAGCCAATTCCTTCCTATTCTTATCATCTCAACATGTTGCTCTCCATATGAGGCATCCATATTGGATTTTGATGCAAGTAGAGGAGCTTCAAATTACGTGTTAGTAACAAGCCACACTTCATCTATATCATTATTCTTTATATTTTATCTTGCCAATATTTGGCATATGGGACACTCATGCTTGATGGCTTCAATGATCAATAGAGAGATAACTTTGGTATTTAGTGGAGAGGAGCCATTGATGACAATTTAAACAGTTTGTATAGAGATGTGTGTTGAAAATCGATAAAGAGGCAAGCTTTGATTTTAAGCAGACCTTTTTTTAAGTTGTTTTGTTCCTACATTATGGAGTACTAGATTAGAAAAATAATTTCCAATGTTAAATGACTTATTTTTGGTCTTTTTTTATTGTTTTAATGTTTATATGATTTAAGCATTGTTTAATAGCATAAGGAGAGATTTTTATCATGTTCAATGCCTTATTGGGTTCAGAGCCTACAAACATTGACCCTAGAAGAAAGTGTTGATCAAAGTTTTTAACTTGAGGGCCCAACCCTTTAGCATCACTCGAGGCACAACTTGGTGAGAAATGTTTATGCCAGCTTTGTTACCAATGTGAATCAAACTATTGAAGTTGTTGTGCCAAGCATACCTCAGACAAGACTTAGGATCTACCTAAGAGAACACTTAGTGAAGGGTGGTCCATGTGTCGTGATAAGAGGTAGTACTCTTACAAGGAGCATGACGAGGGAAGAGAGGTAATTGAGGTGGGAGGCTTTCTTGGTGGGGGAAGGGATGTTTGGAGCAAGTTGTTTTCATACATATAAAGGAGGTTGAGGATCTTTTCATTGTTTTTAGCTTATAGATGGGATGGGAGAAGGGGTGTTGGATGTTGGCAAGAAGGGGAGTTTTGTGACCCAATCTGGGTGCATGAACTTAACCAATGTGGGAAAGGATGGTCGGAAGGTGAAAGTAAAAAATTCTTTATAGTAACAATAGTACAAAATAATATCAAACTTTAAAAGAGTCATTAATCCATAAGACATGATAAATATCGTCTAATAAGATACATAAAATAATTCAACTTAAAATACTAATAAAACAAAAGTGCTATACATGAATAACAAACAACTTGCTACATATTTTCAATAGTTCTTCCACTTATTTATGCAAACTTTCTTATAAGATAGCTGGTGCTGTTCGTTGCTTTGCTTTCTCTTTCACTGCGTCGTCTTCCACAGAAAGTAATTAGTTATTTTTGGAGGGATGAGAGGTGGACAACTATGCCGTGGAAGAGGTGGACAAAGAGACAAAGGGATCAGAAAGAGTGCAGTGCTGGTAGGGGATGATTATCCTTTGTTGCTTCCTTTTTATAGCTTTTATTTTTCTATGAGGCCTGGAGATGCTAGCTAGCCTGATCATCCAACAAATAAACTACTGTACGTAGTTATATAAATGTACTAGAGCTTTTCCTAGAGTAATAGTTAAATAGCATGTTAAGTTTACAACAATTTAGTGAAAAATTACAACTTCATTATACACTAAATTATTATGCAAATGCTTAAATAAGAGTGCTAAAAAAAACATGCTAATTAATATATAAAATTAAAATTTGTATTTCATTTAAATAAAAACTTTTATTAAATTCATTTTTAATCATTTATAAATTTCATTTCTTTTTTCCTTTAAAAATTTATTTCAGGAGTACCGTCTAAAAATTTATACAATTAAATGTACAACAATTTTCATTTTTTTATCGTGCACGGAACAATAACGTCCTTATCTAGTACTGCAAGGGGTGACTCCTGATTAACTTAATAATTTCTTTTTCATTTAAGCTTCCTTTAATTCATTTCATTCATATGAAACCATTTATTGGACTTTTTAAATAATACAAAGGGTGAAATAGGGTGAAATGATATAATTATATAAGTTCTTTCGTTTTATTTGTTTTAGCTTTAAAAAAGTCTTTGGTACGTAAAGTATTTTCAAAATAAATCATTATACAAATGGAAGATTTCAAAATAAAACAGAGAAAATTTAATGCATATAAAATAGTAATTAGTCACTTTAACCTATCAGAAACCTCCTTATATGCTTATTCTTCCACTTTAATCACATCGCTGATCTTCTATCAGTTTATTATTGTTATTCAATCAAGATTTTAAGATATTTTCAAAATAAACATTAATTTAAGCATTTAATTTCTAATAACAATTGCTAAATTCCTAAACTTACCTCAATTCACTTTTTTCTCCTCCAGGCAAACTCCTCGATCTTAATCTCCTATTGTATCAAATGTTTTTCAATTCTTAGTTTAATTCATAATCTTAATATTAACACGAAAAAATTTTAATTAATAATTAATTTAAATAAAGTTATAAACCTTAATCCTCACGTCAATTTCATTTCCTCTTTTGTACAATTCGATCGCCATCTCCCTTTTTCTTTAATTTGGTTTCTTATCTAATTCTACTGACTAATTTAAATTGACAAAATTTAAAATTTATTTAATAACATTTTACATGAAATAAATGAAACAATTTATATATTTAAAACATAAAACCCCCCAAAGAGTCAACTCGGTAGCCCTTTCCACAGGAGGATCACTCCTCTCACACGCAAGGCTCTTTCTTCTTGGTGGAGTTCCCCTTTCTTCCCTTCTATTGCTCGACACTCCCTCGTTGTCGGTTCCCTTGTTCGTCTTCCACGTCTGCTTCAACACACAAATAGTCTTGAACGACATGTCGTAACTTTAGATTGTTAGCCGTAAGCGATGATCTCCCTGCATGCACACAATCTGCGTCGATCACCTTCTTTTTCTTCCTTCTTGGTTGCTTGCTCTTTTTTTCTACGCCTCTACCGTGTCTTTGGTTTGAATGAAGATGCTTATCTCTTAATAAAGAACTAACAAGTTGGTTTGTTCTAATTGCTCCCCATTGGTTTAAAATTTTTATTTTAATTAGTTTTTATTTTTTATTACAGTTATTATAATGAGTAGATCTGGGAGTGATATTGGGAAAAGTTGTTTTGAAAAGTCCGAAACACATAAATTTGTTTTGAGTGTTTTCAAAATAGCTTTACTAGTTTTTGAAAATAAAAGAAAAATACAATTTAATCTCATTCATTTATTTTTTAAGATAAAACAAAAGGTGAAGCCAAATAGACCACGAATGCCTTGGGTGGCTCTCAAACTTAAAATGGACTTTTGGTTGATTTATTTGATCATAGGTCCATCTTTCTGCCCTTGAAATTTTATATCAAGCACGTTCCTCATCCTCCTTGGATAGCTCCCAAACTTATGAGATATACGCCTCACGAGTGAAATTTTCCCAATCCATGTTCCCCTTGTTGTCTTTTTTAAAACACTGCTTATAAGCTGTAGTTGTTATCTGCATATATATATATATTGAACGATTACTACTGTTAGTGAACCAAAACAGAAAATGGGGAACCCTCAGCCAATTTTATCGAGTCAAATTCTGCTACAGTCATTACACTTTGAATTGTATGTATGCAACTGTATACATGTGGAAACTAGATACAATAACAACAACAATAAGCCTTAATCCCACTACGTGGGGTCGGCTAAATGAATCTTTTTTCTCCATTACGTCCTGTTTAGTGTCATATTTTCATTTAGTTCTAATAAATTAAGATCGTTTTTTATACAATAAGCCCAAGTCTTCTCAGGTCTACCCTGCCTTTATTAACATAAGTTGAATTTAAAACATCCACTTCTTCTAATCAGATCATTAGCTGGTCGATGATTAGTGTGACCAAACTATCTAAGACGACTCTCTATAATTTTATCTGTCACTGGAGCTACACAACCCTATCACAGATATATTCATTTCGCATTTTGTCTCTAAGTGTAAAGCCACTCAGCCACCTAATCGTTCTCATCTTGACAACACTTAACTTAGTATTATGCTTCTCTTTTAAAGACCAACATCCAGCTCTATAGAGCATTGCTGGTCTCACCACCATCTTATAAAATTTTTCTTTCAGTCTAAGCGGTACTTTTCTATCACACGAAAGGCCCGAAGCATTCCTCCAGTTCAACCATCCAACTTGAAACCTACTATTAACATCCCCATCTAAATTGTTCACCTCTTTTTAATAATTTGATCACCCAAAGTTACACTTCTTTCAATAGAGCTACTACTACTAAAATTACATTCCATGTATTCAGTATTAGTTCTACTCAAATGAAGGCCTTTAGACTCCAATGTAGACCTCCATAATTCAAGTTTTTCTTGGGCTTTTTCTCTCGTCTCATCCACGTGAAGGAAATCATCAGTAAAAAGCATACACCAAGGTACATCCTCCTGTAAATGTCCAGTAAGACAATCCATAAGTAAAGCAAAAAGATATGGGCTTAAAGCAATTCTTGATGTAATCCAACAGAAATAGGAAAATATTTGGTCAATCCTCCTTCAGTTCGAACACAAGTAACAACTCTAGTATACATATATTTAATGACTTGAATATAAGTCGTATCAACACCTTTCTTCTCAAGAACTCTCCAAAGGATATCACTTGGAACCTTATCGTAAATAAGTTTTTTTTAAATCAATAAAAATCAAATGCAGATCTTCCTTATTATCTCTGAGTCTCTCCATCAAACATCTCAATAAATGTATAGCTTCCATAGTAGACCTGCCTGACATAATCTAAATTGATTACGAGAAATCTTTGTTAATATATCTTAACCTATTTTCAATTATCCTCTCTCATAATTTTAAAGTATGGCACAACAACTTAATTCCTCTATAATTTGCACACTTTTGTGCATTCCCTTTATTTTTAAAAATGGGGACCAAAATACTCTTCTTCCACTCCTTAGACATTTTTTAGTTTTTAAAATAATATTAAAGAGTTTAGTAAGCCAAGAAACTCCCAAATCTCCTAAAAATTTCCACAGTTCAATTGGGTTATCATCAGGTCCAACAGACTTTCCACCCTTGGTTTTCCTTAAAGCTTCCTCAATTTCTTTTTTACTAATGCTACGGTAAAAATGAAACGTTTTATTATTGTTAACGAAATTAAGATCACTAAGGTCAATTGTATTTTCAAAAACTTCATTAAAAAGTTTATCAAAGTAACTCACCCACCTATGTTGAATATATTTTTCTAAGAAAAAACACTTTTTGATTTTCAACACTTTTTGATTTTCATCTTTACTTTAATAAACTTTCCTTGAGTTAAATTTTTACATGTGGAAACTAGATGATTACCATAATTTTAATTCAGTTGTTTGTTCTCTCGCATGTAATGTAATGATATTTTATAAATGTAGTGCCCATTTTACTAGGCATTGATAAAAAAATATAATGATTTATTACTTTGGAATATGTGATCATGGTCAACATTTAATAAAATTGCATTTAAAAGCACTTAAAATGATTTATATTCTGACAATTTTCTCAGCCAAATTAGAAGCGGTTAGAGATAAACTTTCGCATCTTTTATTTATTTCTTCTCTTTAATCAGCAGATTGTTAAACAACGAATATGATGTGACACCTTAATTTTATTCATTTTTTATCTTCTCAATGGCTCAAATTTTCATGAGCATCTTACAAACACCTAATATCAAAGAAGATCAAGAATTTGCTTCATGTCACCAAGCTTACTGAAATTGTTGCTGCTTTTATCTAGACCTCCCAGTTGCTTGGTACCTGGTGCTGGACTTGGAAGACTGGCTTTGGAGATTTCTTGCCTAGGTATTTAGAAACATGAAGCTGAGATTAGGTTTTTCTGTTTTTGTATTTCATGGTTACTGCTTTTTATCAACCAAACAGGTTTTGTGAGTCAGGGCAATGAGTTTTCTTATTACATGATGATCTGCTCGAGTTTCATTCTCAACCAGTTAAGTCATATGATCTGTTTTCATTGGGTGATCCATGCCTTTATATTTCGTTTATTTTATACAAGTTTCTGACCATATGATTTTGTTGCTGTTTTTCTATTTTAATTCAAACTATTTATAATATTAGAACTGAAGCAGCCAATCAGTGGATAATATACCCCTGGATTCACGGGAATTGCAATTCTCTATCAGATGATGACCAGTTTCGTCCTATCTCATTTCCAGACATTCAACCAGCAAGGTATTAGCGTGAAATATTTTATGCATTCATGCTACTATGGCATGTGTATATCCTTTTCATGATAACATAATCTAGATTTTTCCATAGGCATTAAGCATGCACATATTTTCAATTGTCAAGCCTCTAATGCTTCTATATAACACCGTTACGAGTTGAAAAAAAATTGTTGTGCCATTGCTTTAGTTGATGTTGTTTTCATGAAACTAACTAATGGAATTCTTCTGAATTGAATGGCAAAAATCTGAAATAATGTTCATTGCGGCATGAATTAAACATTGTGAATTTTTTAAAGCCATGAAATTTCATTATTAGTTAGAGAAAAAAGTTACTTAAAGTTGGTGCAAAGAACTATCTATAGATCACAAAGAAATATGCATTGGATCAAGATAACATAAAGTTTGAAATCCAATAAACTTGAGAGAGAGGACAATTTTTTTTGCTATTTTTGCATTAGTGAGAAATAACAAGCTTGACCCTTTATCCACCAAATAAAGAATGCTTTTGATTGAAACTTGGGATTAAATTGATCTTGAATCATTGAGCACCTCACATTAGAACAATCATGTGTAGCATTGGGGAACATAGTAGTAATATCACCATGAGGAATGAAAGTTGGAGTAATTGAAGGGCCAGGCTGAAAGGATGCCTTGTTAGACGTGGTTCATAAATATTAGTAGGTTCAACAATCATATCTGAAGACATTAAAGATGGGGGAGCAAGGGGGTACTGATATCCGACAACCCAACATTAGCTTTGGAAAACATAGACTCAATACAGAGGCTATAGTTGGTTGCAAAGCATGAGCACATGTTAAAGGAGAGAAGATTGGGGGAACAACTTTTAACAAGCTGGAAGATTCAAACTGATCATTAGTATTAGCTACACAAAAATCTTGCCCAAATCTTGATCAATAGGACTATTATGAACAATGGCACTACAAGTTGATTTTCAAAATTTTAGATCAGCCTTAAAGCAATTGAGATATTCATTAATAAAGGTTCGACAAGAATAACAATATGCAAGCAAACTATCAATTTGTGAATAACCACTTGTTGAAGGGCCATTTCCTGTCTCCTTAGTCAAAGCAAAGTAAACATCTATTTTAATGTTAGCTTATGCCAACAAATGATTATAGTCGGGCGGGAGCATTTTCTACTTGTGCTTTCCAAGAATTGATCCTAATGGGTGAAATAATTGATTTATTGATGATACAAATGTAAATGTTGTATTAACTAAGAGTATTGCACATAATATGATTGACTGGGTGAGTCTTGAATGATTTGCTTTCAAGAATGGTTTGATAAGCACGTCCAGTGATCAAGAGGCCCCATCGGGAAATCACCAATCATGTGTAAATTAAAAAAGAAATTATGACTAATCTTCAAACTGGGCAGCCAAAGGAAAATTTAGCAATCAAATTATAGGAAAATGTTGCTGCTAGATCATTAATTTTAGCCTTAGAAAAAATGAGTGAGTGAATCATGGTTGGTGGCGGGGAACTTGAGTCTAACAGAATTCAAGCCACGCTCAAAGATAGAGGAAAATTGGCAAATAAAGCCTACTTCAAAGATCTCTTACCCTTGACAGTCTTAAGAAAAGAAAAAAAGTTGTAGCAATTAGCTCCATAGGAGCAGTTGTAACATGATTAAGCTTGAATAAAGCAGCTGATGGATCTTCGACATTTGTGGGACCAAAAGATGGGTGGCTGATGGAAGAACCAATGTCGACCACACTAAAATTGAGGAAAGCTGAAATTGGAAGGAGATGAGTGGGAGCCGCCGACATAAGATCATTTGTGGCACTAGAAGAGAGGCAACACATGGCAGGCCTTACTACATCATCGTTGGCGGAGGAGGCAAAGGTAGAAGTGAAATCCCATGAAGTGATATGGCATCTGTTCTTATTGGAAAGCTAGGGAGTTGGAGATGTGACACTATTAAAAAGATCAATAACATAAGAAAATGGTGTGACATTTGAGTGAGAATGAAAAAATAAGCATAGTTGATTGCATTGAGAGAGTACAAAAAAAAGGGAGGATGCTTGGTTAGAAAGAGTGAACGTTTTTTGGTGACTTGGATTGATGACATTGAGCTCTTTTCCCATTTCTGTTGAATTTCTTGGAATGGGTTTTCATCGACCTTGGTCTTTTTAAGTCAGTGCTCTCGTGCAAGAGAATGTATTCTTGAAAGGCAGAAGGTGGAAAAATCACATAGTTTTGCCCTGTTTAAATTCATGCGTCTTTTGATCGTAGCATCGGATTCCTATCATATCCAGCATTTTTGTCATTCCCACCTGCTGGCATTGAGTTGGTTCACAAGGCCAAATAATAGAAAAGATACATTAACTGCCTTCACACCTCTTAAATTTAGATTAAAAAAAAAAATTTAAAACTCTCATACAAGTGGCTTCTTTCATTGGTTCCGTATCAAACGATTGCTTGAAGGTTAAAACATTTATCTACCATGGTTTGACATATATTGCATCCTAAAATTTTACAGTCTTAACCTGGTTCTGGTTTAAATCCTTTATTTGGCTTGGAGATGCAGTACCGTTGGATCTTGTACCTTTCATTAAGCAAATTATGCATGTACTTTGAACCAAGAATGATACATCTTCACATCATTGAAAAGAAGGGGTGTGAAACACGGACATCTAGGTCTTCCATCCTAGTACTTTGTGGTCATGCGTTATTAGAAATTAAGAACATTAACATATTGATTGTCCCATCTTTTTTGCTGCTTTTTTCTTGTTGATTCTTTCTTTTATTGATTAGATCTTTTCTACAATTTTCATTTCAACTTATCCTGGAAGCTATTATATTTAATTAGTGCAGGGATCACTGAAGGATTTTCTATGTGTGGAGGTGATTTCATTGAGGTCTATAATGATATGGATCAAGAAGGTACATTGATTTTAGTACTTCTGTCACGTTGATTAAATGCTACAGCTATACAGTGATGTTACTCTAATGCATTATATTTTGCAGTTGAAGACTTTCTTAGTTTTCTTGACAGCGTTCTTTAATTGGAGTGGTTAGTTTAAGCCGTTGAATTTTGCTATGAAAATTCATGTTTCTCAAAAGTAATAATGAAGGAATTTTTTTTAGTGCTGATGCAAGCTCATTCTATTCATAATTTTAATATGAGAAAAGCAATTTTAATATCGTTGAATATATTGGAAAAACTTTAAATCCCCTTCCCATTGATTCATGATGTTGGGATGCTTCCTTAACAAAGCAATTTGATATGAAGTTCTAGATTTTCTGTGAAAATGCAAACTCATTGTGGTATTGTGCTGCATCTCTCACGTTTTTTGAACTGTTGTGGAGTCAATTGGAGACAGTTCTTAAGTGTTTCATTTTGCGGTGATGTTACAAAATACATTTTAAATTAAATAAAAGATTCGTTCAGATCATACCTTACAATTGTAAATGTTGTATGATGCGATCAAAGTTCATAACCTCTCTTTTCTTAGAATTATTCATGGAACTTGATTGTTTGACTGTATTTTACAATAGTTCTACTGCAAGGTTCACCAAAATAACTTGCACCTTACATATCAAAAGATAAGTGCCTCAGTTAAGTGGATAATATATCTTATGGTTACATTTAACATACCATGCGTTGAGTCCATCATACGGTGCAACAATATGAAATGCATTTTATGATCTACTCAGTTTCTATACTATGTAAATGGGTTTTAGACTTCAAAAATTGCTATTTGGTATTTTGTTATCTTTTAATTTATTTTTGTTACCAGTCACGACGTGGCCTATAAATTTGGAATACTATGATGGGAATAGACTACCAGATTGTAAGAATTCTGTAAATTTATAAAATTTGTAAACATAAATCTCCTACTTATAAAAGACCCAGTTTGATCAAGTTTTATTGGTAAATTCATGTATGATGTGCCATTTGCTTAATATGTTATTTCAAAATACAAATACATTGGATACAAAAATTTTTTATGGTACTTGTCCTCGTTAGGTCATTGCTGATTGTAAACACGTTATCTTATTTTGTTTATTTAAATTAAAAGAAATCTTCATAAATAATATTCTTGGACTATTGTGTGAGTTAAATATTTTAATTGATAAATATATTTCTAAAGTACAGTAATTCAAGACTTTGAAGCATTATGTAGTTCAAATTTTGTACTTAACACATTAAAAATTAAGCACAGCTATCATTCATCTCTTTTTTTATATTTTAATACTTTAATTTCTTAGAAAATGCATCCTTCATAGGAGTATCATTTAAAATGTAACCTTTTAAGGTATAGACATATTAACAACCATATTCATATTTAAACCACGAGAGCAGGCAATCATTTTTTTCGTGCATGTATGAGTGTCCCTAGTCATTACAATAAATTAATAATTTTTTTCAATAGCATGCACATGCATTTATTCATATACAATATCTTTGGCATTTATCTCATCAAGCATTTATTTTACATATTATCCCATACATATTATTTTATAAAGTAATCATTTAAAACATGGAAGGATTAATAAAATGCTTGTAAATATGTAGCTGTTGTATGAAGTGATAAGAAAACCATTCGAATACTGGTTTCGTATTAACACAGACATTATTTAATGTATACAAAGTCTTTATCAATCAATGCATTAAATTAAAATTAATAAAATTTGTTGTGATAAATGGAAATATATACCCATTCTCTTTCTGTAAGAGTTACTTCATTTGATGTGGTACCTATAAGATTATCATAAATATGGTTAGTTTTAATTTATTGGTCTATATTATATTTTTTATATACATTTCATTTTTTTTTCAAAGTTAAGTTAATATTTCATATCTATCTAATTTAACTAATTACTATAACTGACCTATGCCAATTAATTTTAATATTTAAGTTACAACTTAATTATTTCACTTCTACCTTATTCAATTAGTCTTGATTGTTAATTTTAATGTTTATTTTCTACTGTTAAATTTTCAATTGATAAATAGATCCTCTACTTGAATAATGGTTATCCTCTCTAATTAGCTTTAAAATTAATAAAAAAATTTCTCTTACTAATTTGTTTCTTATATTACTCATCTAACCGATCCTAAAAGCTTCTAAAGTAACTCTTAATTTTATATTTTTAAATAAATAAATCATTATCATTATTAAAATAGAAATTAATCCACATCATGTTACCATTAAAAATTTAAACTTTAAACTACATCAATATTCTTATTATTACATAGGAAATTTACCTTCAACACTATTATCATTATTAATTTAGAATTTGACATACATCTTTCATTCTTTTGTATATTTTTTAAATTTGATATAGTTTTTTATATTATTTAACTTGATAGAATTCTTTTATAAGTTTTATCATCAAATGTTTCAAATTTAATTTTTAGAAAGCAATATATTAAAATTTTGTAGTTCAATTTTCTAAGATAAATTTTATTATTTTGTTGGTTTGTATTTACACCTTAATGTTCTGCATGTTATGTTTAAAAAGAGTTCCCTCTCATTATATTTGCTAACATAACTAGTAGATTCCCCATTCCCATGACTAATATTCATGCTCTCGCTTTTATCTCTTCATCACATTCTGCACACAAGAGACCTTAGGCTCCATCTTCCTCTCGATTATTCTCATCTCTCCATTTCTCCTTTCATGTTCGCTTTGTTTGTGTGAAGCCCCTCAACCAAGCTCACTCCTCCATCTTGTATGCTTTTCTGTTTCGCATTTTGTTAACCTCTCATCTGCATCTCTACTTCTTCCTGACTTGAATCGATATGACCACCCCTCTGTGCTCAATCTTTCCTCTCTCCTGTTCATGGAGGCATCATGTGACCGTTTTTCTTAGCCCACTAACAAAATTTGTGATAATTCCCATCCCTATCAACCGACACATTTTCCCAATTAGTCAGCTTTTAATATCAGTAAGATTCAAGCTCGTCAACCATTATGCATGATGCCTTTTTTCCCTTTAAATTTTCCTTGCTGTTGATTTGTCTTTGCAATATCTCTTCATGGCAGCTCACACACTCAAACAACTCGTCACAAACTACTGAACATTCTTTGCAAGTCAACAACACCTCTCAACCCGACTTTGTTATCCTTCTCTGTCTCCCTCACTCATCTATTCCTTCCATATCAGCCTTCCTACTCCCTATCATCCATTATCTCTATCTCCATTTTTTTCATATCTTTTTTTGAACTCTTTAACTTTATTGCTTTCTCAAGAAAGAAAAGAGGACAAAAAGCCTTAAAAAAAGTTAAAAGAATTTAAAAAACAAAAAAAGAGTCACAAAAAATGAAGAGAGAAAGTGCTTTATTTGGACTCATTAATTTGTCATTCTACATAAAATTGCTGACTTTGTTCCTTGTGCAATGCTAAAGAAGTGCGAGGAAAGTTTATTATATTCAGGACATTATTGTGCAGATAACAGAACTCCAACATGTTTTTTTAAGTGTGGTGGGTTAATGATTCCCTCTGTCGCATGGCAGAAAAGCTTTGTTGTATGCAATTTATAATGCATGTATGTGGAGTTCTATGCACACTTTTTTTTAGCTTATTGGGTTTTGAGACCTTTGATTGTATTATTCTAAATATTGGCCATGCATTTTTTTTCTTAAGTCTTGTGGGAAAGTCAAATATTCATTGTTGATGCTCCTGTGCAGGTGAGAGGTAGGAAGATTGTGGAAATCCTTATCAATAAGACATTTTGGATCATTCGATGCAATGAAAATAAAGATTGAAATACAAAATGAACAAATGAACATTAAAATTATGTTACACGTTATGCCAAATAAAATGTAAGTGCCAGAATTGAAAACAAAATTGAAAGCCGAACTAGACAACAAAAACTTGATAGCGCACCAACAAAGATAAATGAGACCTTTTAATGAACTGTTGGATTGCAGCATCTTGCATCAAATGAGCTAAAAAGGATTTGAATAGAACTTCGAACTAAACACAAAAGTCTTATAGAGAATTTGCTAGTTTGCCTACTAGTAAGATTGGATGTCATATTATGGGATTTTTATCTTTTCGAAACCTGATTCTCCATGTCTCTGAGAACAAAGTTTTGCAAGACTTCTATTCATTGATGGATTATTTTGCCATCATTTGAAAGAAGATTTTCTTAATTTTTATTTTATACCCAATCAAGCAGTTTGATGATTATACTCAATTGTAGATTTCATGAAGGGTATCTTTTCTTCTATTTACATATGATATTCAAGGCATTTTACCCAAAAAAAAAATCAAAAATAAAAAACTCTAGCGTTGTTACACTCAAAAAATACAATTGTGAGTTTAACCTAGAAGCTCAATCCTATGTCTATGGGAGTAGAATCGACAAGGTCTAAAATATAAAGAATGTTCAAGTAAACTTAATCATACATAAATCATAGAACCAATTTTGTGCAGGCAAGCAAACGACTGATAAGTTTGAAAATGATAGGTTGTTGTCATTCAAATGCTTTCATGATGAGCACAATCATTGTACACTATAACTAGAGAAGCTCATTCTCAAAATAGAACTCTTAAATTATTAATGTTAAGTGTCCAAATAATTAGTTTTAATGATGGGCACATTAATAGAAAATCTTATCTAGAAGAGATTTTATCATTAGAACACACCAAATTCTAGCAAGAACCATTTTGTTTTTAAATCCTAAAAATATGAAAATTTAAGAAAAAAATCTATAATTTAAAAATATTTAATTAAAATTTGTTGCTTGGAGCTTAGAACAACAATTCATCTATCCTCCATGGTATTTTATCGAGTATGACATTTAAAATAAATCTAGGCTAGTAAGAACATGATACATTTCTTCTGATCATTTGTGCTTATGTGGCCAAATAACACTTAAAAAAAAACCTGGTTATGGTGAAGGCGTTTTGACCAAGAGGTTTTCCA